GTGATACCTAGCTTAGAACTAAATTATTCTCAACAGCTTAGAGTAAACACAAAGTTGTCTTATTGATTGAAATAAACTTTATTTTATATTTTATTTATTAATTGTTACAAAATAAGGTACACAGTTTGTTTGCGCCTGACCTTAATCTCACAGCATTCTGGATTTGCCCTAAATGGTTTGGCTTTGTCAGGCGGTACTTCGACAAAATAATAATTTTATTTTATACCTTAGTTTTGTTGATTTGTTAATATACAAGAACCATTAACGCTGTTTTCCTTCCGAATTGTATCATAATTTGTTAAATCGCTTTAAATAGTTGTTACTACAGCAAATCTTCTTTTCATTGAGATACTAAGCTCCAAATGTATCCCCGATAAGATACACAGTTTAAACAGTAAGATGCCGCATAAACTCATTCGAGTTATCCGTGCATTAGCGTCATCACTAATACATATTCATTTATACCTAAACAGTTAATTATTCTAAATTAATACATTGACTAAGACAACAAAATCACACACACATCACAACTTATCACCGGTATACATATTATGTATATCGGAAAAAGAAATAATTAATTTGAGTGTCTAGACATTGTAGGTTGTAGATTCATTCAGTTCCCACTGCGTAATACATCAACGACTATACCGTACATTGCTGATCATTGCGATTCGATATATTTTTTAAAGAATACATAAATTAACATATACAAATGAGGGCCTCATTAATAGCAATCTCTTACAGGCAACCATTGGATGGACAAATTGCCTTACGACAAATTCATAAAACACGTACGAAATAATGGGTAGTTTTAGTGTTAAAGAATTATAAAATCTTTTAATTTACATATTGTATTTTATAAATTCAAAACATTTATTTAAAAGAGAAAATCTTATTTTATTTCTATATTTACTATTAACCTCAGTTATGGTAACAAAAATCCACAGTGAAAATTAACATAACTTAGACGACCGGATGGCGTAGTGGTTTGTGTAACGGACTGCTATTCCAAAGGTCGCGGGTTCGATTCCCGCTCAAGTCAAACATTTGTATGAATTAACATTTAATGTTTGATTTGATCTGGGTGTTTCTATGTATAATATGTATTTATTTATTTGGACAACCAACAAGAACATACACCTTAAAAGCAAGAGATACAATGAAAATGAGATACAACTATTAGTGCTGCCTTAATTACAGGTTGCCACGGAAAGCATAGGAATAACAGAGAGTTGGGAGCGTAAGGCTTCCCCTAACTTAAAAAAGAAGACAAAAAAGAAAGACCTGAACAGGCACTTTCTTACAGAATAACTACTTAAAAAATCTACAACATAAAACAAACAAAGGTCCTTATACATAAAATATATCTCAGCTTAACAACAATATTTTCTTTTTAAAAGAAGGTAAACTTAATCTAAACACATCGATATCCTTATTTTTACTTATTGAATTATATTCTGCCTGGAGCCTATTTAAAGAAGAGAAAAGGCCAAGGTTAGTTTTGGATCGCTTAGGTGTGAACAAGGAGTATCTGGACAGTCGTGGAAGTGTATGGGTGATAGTGAAGTTAAGTTTTTGTAGCAGACTAGGACAATTGATATTACCGTTAACTAGCTTGTGAAGAAAAGATAGATCTAAAATTTTTCGCCGCTTTTTTAATGATGTTAAGTTGAAATGAGTTAGTCGGTTTGTGTAACTAGTAAGCTTCTTTGACAAGTTAAATTTATATGCCAGGTGGTACATAAATCTTTTTTGCACGCGTTCAATTTTATTGGAATGAACCTCATAATGCGGATGCCATACCACAGAACAGTATTCCATAAGAGACCGGACCAGACTTTCGTATAATCTAATAACAGTAGCTTTATTTCTGAAGTGCTTACTGTTTCTTATTATAAAACCGAGTGTTTTGAGTGATTTAGAGACAATGTGATCGTAATGTTCCTTAAAATTTAGTTGTTTATCAAGAATAACACCAAGGTCCCGAACACTTTCGACTTCTTGAATACGTTGGTCTGATATTGTATAAGCCCCGGACAATACAGTGTTACGGTTACGAGTAAAGCGAATATAACAGCATTTGTCAATATTCAAAACCATTTTGTTATCTTTGCACCAGCAAACCAATCTGTTTAGATCATCTTGCAATAACGTTTTGTCTTCAAGATCTCTGATTGGTCTCATTAACTTAAGATCGTCCGCGTAGAGGTATGGTGTGCTGCTTTTGAGGCATGAAGTGACGTCGTTCATGAACACATTAAAGAATATAGGTCCTAAATGAGAACCTTGAGGAACACCAGATAAGTTATAAAACAGGTCTGATTCATATCCGCTGACAACCACTTTTGATGTTCGGTCACGCAAGTATGATGAGCACCATCTATAGAAGGCACCAGCAAAACCGAACTGCGATAATTTATGTAATAAGATACTATGAGGCACTTTATCGAAAGCTTTCGAAAGGTCTGTATAAATGACGTCCACTGGAGTACGACTATCCAAAGAACGAGATATATCATCAAAGAAATCCACAAGGTTGGTGCATGTCGATCGACCAGACACGAATCCATGTTGAGAGTCTGCCAGAACGCTTTTAATATGCCACGATACGCAGGGACATAATAAAGATTCCATTAACTTGGCGAAAACAGACAATATTGTAATAGGCCTATAATTTTTGACATTGCCTTTATCGCCGGCTTTATGAATTGGTACAATAAGGCCTAACTTCCAAGATGAAGGAAAGGTGCCCGAGGCAAGCGACTCATTGAAAATAAGCGTGAGCGGCAGTGACAGTTGCAGGGCACAGTTGACAGCGAAAACGGCAGGTATCCCATCTGCGCCAGCTCCTTTCTGTCTGTCAAGTGATTTCAGGCTCTGCAAAACTTAGTCTTCCGAGAAAAATATAGAACACAATGAGTGGGGGACATCACATTTACTGCTGGAGTGGACATTCAATGAACTATCAACATCACCCATACCGTAAGAAGCCGCAAAGAATGCTGCCAATGTATTGCATATTTCAGGACCAGTCGAGACTGTAGTGTTTTGATATGTCATTGAAGACGGGAACGCGACACTCTTAGCATTCTTTTGCTTCATGTAAGAAAAAAAAATGTATGTATTAAGAAAAAAAGTAAATATGTATTTATATCAGTTGTCTAGTACCCATAGTACAAGCTCTGCTTAGTTTGGGACCAGATGGCGTTGTGTGAATGTAGAATATTATATTATTACTAGCGGACCCGCGCAACTTCATCTGCGTCTCTCAATAGTAATAAATTTTCTCCGTTTTTTAAACATTCTTCATTGGTGCTCCGCTCCTATTGATCTTAGCGTAATGATATATAGCCTATAGCCCTCCTCGCTAAATGGGCTATCTAACACTGAAATAATTTTTCAAATCGGACCAGTAGTTCCTGAGATTAGCGCGTTCAAACAAACAAACAAACAAACTCTTCAGCTTTATAATATTAGTATAGATATTATATGTTACACAATAACGGCCATTCACGCCCCAATTAGTCACATCTGCAGAATTTACAAAAAAGACATTCCATTTCTGGTTTTTTTTTCAATACCGACAGCCGTCGTCCAATTCATTTCCATGTTCAACTAACTGACAATATAAATGCGGTCATCTATCAACATGAATATCAATCTTTTGAAATTTAATTCACTGTAGTACGAGGCGTGTTTGACTTACATCGTTAATTGATTATTTGTTCTCAATTTACTATATAGCTATCTACAGCTTTTATGATGAAAATTAAATAGATTTCTCAAGGATAACACATTCATTCAACGATGAATGTGAGTATTTTTGGTATTGGTATTGGTTGTAGGCTTCGGTTTCCGCATTAAGACTCAAGACTCAAGTCCGTTATGCGCCGAGGACTGGTTAGCTAGGTGAACTAATCAAGCTCTTTCCAGAAGTGCAGAAGCCTCCTGGGGCGTTTACAGGCTTCTAGGATTGATTTTGTATCGGGAATGATACTTGCCCGTTATGTGGCCACTCCTTCGCATTCCAGGATTACATGGGCGGCCGTTTCTTCTGCTTCCAGACATCCCCTGCACAGAGGGCTGTCCGTCGCATTGATGATGAATAGTTGTCGGTTCAGGGTTAGGTGTCCTGTTATAGTTCTGACAACTATTCGGATTTCCAGTCTGCTAAAACTGATCAATCTGGACTGTCTGCAGCCGGGTGAGTTTTTCCACCTCCGGTTATGTGCTTCACGTGTTCGTTGCCTGGCCCAGAATCGTATTTGGTTAAACGGTATTGGCAGGAGTATGGTTGGGCCGGTAGCTGGGGTTGCCGAGCCCCTCCTTGCCAACTCATCTGCGGCATCGTTCCCATGTCAGTACCACATATTTAGATAGTATTGTTTAATTGAATTATTAGAAAATGTTTTCAAAGCATATACTTTATAGTGGTTTTATGTATACATTATATAATATAATGTATACATAAAACCACACAGAGAGAAAAAAATAATTATTGACTATTTTTCCCCATGTTTTTTCCAATATTTTAAAGAGAACTCGATAGTGATTTTATTATCAGCTAATGAGAATGAAGGCAAACGATATAATTAAAAAAAATTACTAACATTGATTATAAAAGTATCGTAAAACTAAATTAAAGTAAGTTTTTTAACATAATGCGTATTAGGTACACACACAGGTCAGGTATACAGGTACACTTCGTGTATAGACATTACGCCAATAACAGTTAGAAATAAATAAACTCTATGAAAAATGAAGATATAATTGCATAAAGCGTGTACTTGAAATCGCTCTACAAAGTAAGAAATAATCAGAATTTATTTATAAATAAACTATACACACCTTAAAACCTAGACTTAGAAGATAACAATGAGTTTAAAAAAAAAACTGTTAAACTGAAAGTATCCACCTTCACAGACATGTAATAGCATTCCTTCTTCAAACTGTATATGTAAAAATACTTTATTTATTAATTGAAAATAAAATACACTCACCTTGAGCTGGAGCATAAATATTCAAGTACAGACAATCTTCAGACTGGTTTGTTAGAAATGGCAGAATCCTTTTCAAGTAGTCCAACCGTCCTTTTGATATTCGCTTCAATACAGCTGTCTCGTTCCTTATGTCTGGCAATACTTGAGGACATACCGGACTGAACTCTTCTGTGATCTTCACACCTGACCATTGTGCTCCAGAAACTGGAGGCATAAATCTCAAAGACCCGACTGGTGGAGAAGCATACGGAACTCCTCTAAATACCTCAACAGGTTCCAAGAACCTTGATTCTGGTGTTACTATGAAACCTCTGAGATCTCCATTTTTTGTTCTGACTACTCTTGAACTGATAAGTGGTTGTGGTTGTTTCTCGTCCATAGTTGTTTCGCCCCTGACAAGCCTGGACGTCAGTACTGGAAGGGTGATGAATTGAAGGATCATCAGTATTATCATCTTTCTGCTTCCAACGCCAACGTCCTAGCAACTGTCCGCGATCGCTGACTGCTATAAGTCGACCATTTTGTCTATTTATTGGAATCTTGAACAGCATTTACTGGGTTTTCTGTAACAAACAAAATTTAATTTGTGAATAAGCGGTTCTGCATAAACATATATCGTTAGTGCATGAGTGCATATGCATAGGTAAAAAATTGTTGTGTTGTGTTGCATAGAATGCATTGTTATATTTATAAATTCCCAAAGCACATTGGCTTGTCAGTATTTACATGACGTATATTATACCGAAATAATGTTTTAGCGTTAAGTTTCTCTGATAGCAAAATTTAGATGTTTAAATATATGTTTAAGGAGCTTCTTCGTTTATAATAAACCAAAAAAAAACTAACTAAATAATGATAATGACCTAAGCTCCTCACACGCGACCATTTCAATCTCAACTTAACAAAGCCTCTCGGTACTATGGTAACCGACTGCTGATAAACATTCTTATGTATTACTAAATATACATATTATAGATGAATAACACCCAAACTAAACATAAATGGACACAATTATTTATTTAAGGTGGATATCAATGTCGCGATCTCTAGTTCCGAAGTTAGGTTCAGTAAATACTAGCCCGACACGACCGTTAAGGCAAAACACAATAGATGAATAAGATTTTGAGATTGGCTATTTTTTTATTACATTTGGCAAATACTCGGATTCCGATACGAGTAAAAGGACATCGGATATATTTAAACAAGAAAAAGTACTATGTATAGTAGTACAATTTTTTTTTATGGAATAGGGGTCAAACGAGCAGACCGGTCACCTGATGGAAAATGACTATAGTCCAAAAACGTCGTGCGCGACCGTCCTGCGGGTTGACAGACGGTGGCGGGGACCAGGTACTCAAGATGTCAGTGGGTAGCGGGTGGTCTAGCGGGGAAGGGAAACGCGTGCGTTCGTGTGTAGCCGTGTGCTAGAATGACGCGCTACCTCGCCCCCGCCACTGTCTGTCACCCCGCGGGACGGTCGCGCACGAGATTGCCGGGTTATAGCGCCGCCCATGAATGCCGCGAACTCAGGAGTCACAAGCACGTTGCCAGCCTTCATCATAAAATCAGTTGCGAAGGATAGTGTTGGTTACTCGCTATTGATTGGATTGACATAATCTTCATTAGCGTGAGGGAAGTTAAAGGCAAAAACTACTGTTAAATAAAAGAAGTAACTATTACGACATTGACAAGGAAGATGCTGTATTTACATTGTCTAAAGAAATAATTTTACACTGTCTACAGAATTTAATAGACAACAACATGCTTGTGTGTTGAGATTTTCAAATAAACCCAGATCGTAATGTTATAGCTCTATTCGGATCGTAAAATTTGTAACGAAGAAAGGTTTGTGATTGTACTTTGGATATGTCATGTCTTGACGCAACTTGTCGCAACAAATTGCAACTGAGCCGTATTTTATTATGCGTATGATCATAATTCATTACTAATACTTTATTTACCACTATTATTTGAGTATAGGTATACCATTTTATGATGTGTAAGCAAATTGCTTTTAAAACAAAATTCTTTACTTGATCTACTATCGAATAACTGTAGTTTTTTAGGAGTTTTAGTAACTTTAAATAAGGTTAGTAACTAAAAGTATTTTTTCGTCATACTAAAACTTTGTCTAAGTATGCTATTATAGGATTAAGTATACTCTTACATTGACTTATATCAATTTAAAGAAAAAAATTAGTTTCCCAAGTCCATACGTATCTACGTATGGACTTGGGAACCTAATTTTTTCTTTTGACTCTTTTTGACTATTATCGGATCAGCTCTAAGATGCTTAATTATGATATATCATCCAAATTACATTTTACATATCAAGTTTTATTAAAATACATCATTTAAAGTTAGTTTAAATTTAACTTCCATGATATGTTATAATAGTTTGCTATGAATAACATTCCTTAGAAAAAGTTTAAGGAATATTTTACGAGACCATGCGCTTTTGTTCACCAAACCCTCTCACGTCCGCAATCCACAATTCTCTATCCATTTTTCTTTTACCCACATATCTAACTAAACTTATGTGTTTACCCTTCCCGATAGCCACACCCTGAGTTATTTGGGCAATAAATACGTAAGAGATAAACAGACGTAAACCTAGACATGCAAACGTAGGTCGTAAAGTGTCCTCTCCCTAAGAAATAGTTTCCTGACTAGGAAGACCAGGGTTGAAGATTTGTGTGGACGTTTATTATAGGTGGAGATAGTCAATGTGTAATTTCTGTATCATTTTGTGGATTCTGTAATCATGGCATAGTTAGCGTAATACAAAGTGAAAGCCAGAGCAACAAAGAAGATATATATTTACATATAGCGGGAATCGAACCATCGACCTTCAAATTTGCAGCTGAAGGAGGTGCAAATGTCATAATTAAAAAAAAAATCTCAGACATCTCACACACGGCCGTCTGATCCCAAACTAGGCTGAGCCTGTGCTACTGGAACCAGACAGGAGGTTTTGGCCTACTATACCACCACCAGACGGGTTGGTATAGGGTTTGTGTCAAGTTTTCCTTTTCTCTGCAATGCTGTTGTTTTCTCCCTTAGTCGTTTTTTCCCTTAGTCGGGACTCCCTCTTACGACACCCACGGGATGAATAGGGGTTTTACACTCTGTATTCTTAATCCGTCACCACACGGATATATTATAGATGAATTATACCCAGACACAGAACAAATGACCGTGCTCATCACACAATATTTTGTCCTGGGTTGGAATCAAACCTACGACCTCCGGCTTAGCAATCAGGGCCATGAATTAAAATATATCTGACCGTTTATACAATTCCCGAACACACATAAATAATATAATTTGTTTCTAAATAAGAAAAAAATGTTTACATTGGAGCGTAATCAAAAACAACCTAAAAAAACATCCACAGGATATCTCCCATTGCTTACAATGAATGAGTAGGTATCGCTTTGTCCGAAATGTACAATTTTAGACAAACATGGTAACTCTAACCTTCCGTACATAGAACGTGCGATATGTATTCTTTGAATATTTATTTGTGGTGGACAAACAACGACGGGTTGCGTAATCAAATTGGGTTGCCATGTGAATGATTTATTAAAAGGACAATACATGCCTCGGGGATTTTTTGCTCATCAGTAACTTTAATACTTGGCAATTTTATTTTATAGTTTAGCATTATTTTGTTATTATGGACTAGCTGAGACCCGTGGTTTTACCCGCGTTTGTTGTTATAACCGCGGGCAACGCCGCGGGGCGAAGCTAGTCTAAAAAAGTAGCCTAAGTTACTTCTTATGTCATTAGCTATCTGCCAGTGAAAGTCCCGTCGAAATCGGTCCAGCCGTTCCAGAGATTACCCGGAACAAATAGACAGACAAAAATTGTAAAAAAAGTTATTTTGACATATGTACCGTGTAAACATACATATGCATTTAGTAAAAAGCGGTTATTTTAATATTACAAACAGACACTCCAATTTTATTTATTTGTATAGAGTATAGATGATACATTTTAAATGTGTCCACACACACAAGTTCCACAACTTGACCAGTCTTAGTTATGAGTGTATATTTATATTGTTTTCATTTATAACGAATATATTTGTCTTATCTATATCCATGAAAGAACAAATTGACGGACTGGTCTACTGACCAGTCCGTCAATTTGTTCTTTCATGGACCCAGCGGTTTTTGCCTTGCTTTGATCGATCAGTCAGTAGACTGATCGATCAAAGCAAGGCAAAAACCGCTGGGTCTAGAAACAGGAAATTTAGAACATAATTATGTTCCTTAGGTGACGTAGGTGTCTGCGGTAAGGGATAGGATGGCAGCCTGATTACCTCAAGACGAAATTGGGCCGCCACGTCGCGACTGAGGGGGGAAGTGATTTTCCCCTGTGATAGGGCCTGACTAGGCATGATGTCAATTCGGGGAGGACCTGAAATAACATGGTCCAGGTCCTCCCAGAGTAGGGCACCTGAGGCCGGCCGTCGGGGTGGTTTTTAGTGGAATCACCACATACTCCTAGCTCCTAGCCCCGAGGAGCAGGAGATCCGAAGGGATTTTAGACCCTATCAAAAAAAAAAAAAGGTGACGTAGGTGTGCATTACGTAAGGATTTTTAAAACTTCCGCCCCTAAGGGTACAAAATGGGGGTTGAAAATTCATTTTATGAAACTTCATAGCGTTTTCAAACCCACAGTAAACACTTTGTAGTTTCTCTCAGGAACTACTGGTCCGATTTGAAAAATTCTTTCAGTGTTAGATAGCCCATTTATCGAGGAATGTTATAGGCTATATATCATCACGCTAAGACCAATAGGAGCGGAGCACCAATGAAGAATGTTTCAAAAACGGAGAAACTTTATTACTATTGAGAGACGCAGACGAAGTTGCGCGGGTCAGCTAGTAGCGATATATAGACGAAGTCGCGGGCAAAGCTAGTTTAATATAATTTAATTGAATATTTTTGTAAATAATGTTAGTTTTTTTTATACATGTGTGTCTATACAGGGTTACCTTTTCGTTGGCACAGACGTGTCGTGCAGAAACGCATTGAATATATATATTGTACCATCTACAATAGTACTCATATAAAGCAAGACAGTTCGTTGTCAATCTTTAGCATTTAAAAATCTTTAGCAATTAAAAATGGAAATTTTCATAGTATTCCTATTGAAAGGAGAAAAAAGATAAAGATTGCCTTCCTGGTAATCCATACAAATAAATAGTTAGTAGTTTGTAATTTCAAAATTATAGGTTTTTTTCATGCTCACAAAGTTTTTTGCACTATACCTATTCCTAAAAACCTGTTTTTTTTGTCTGTCTGTCTGTTTTGTTCCGGGTTCTTCTGAACGGCTAGAATTTTGATAATATTTTACTACCAGGTAGCTGTCCACATAAGGAATAACTTAAGCTATTTTTACTCTCAGAAAAACCCTTTAAAATTTTGAACGGTGAGGGAATCG